CCCTGGTCTGTTGGGGGGGGCGGGGTTCCCCCCCCCACCCCCAGCAGACCAGGGAGACGCAGAACAGCTTTTCTTGCCCCGGAGGACACGGGCGGCAGGACCGCAGCGCATCTGGGCGTCCCGCCGCTCCCGTCCTGCGAGGCAAGAAAAGCCCTGTTCGTAACTGCGGATCCGACATAAGTCAGATCCGCGTAACTCGGGGACTGCCTGTATTATGGAAACACATGGTGCAGACAGCAGTGCTGTTTTGACCTGATTGAGTTAGCATCTCCTGTGTTGGAGCTTTTAAAACAAGAAAGCTTTTAAGTGCCATATGAATATACAAAAGAACGACGACAACGTTTAGCATGTTCTTGCAATGTAAATATTTTGAAAGTGGCTTAAATGGGAGGAAACCTGCTTACAAAGCCCTAATGATATTCAGTTAAAAAGTAGGGAGCATGTTCAAAGCGAAAATACACCCCGAGTGACTTACCTTCTGACATGTTTATTCAAGTAGTTGTTACACAACAAACAGCTCTTTAAAGATAACATCCTTATAATACTGTTACAATTGTGTGCTCTCTTGAGAGAATGCAGCGTATGTAAATATAGCCTTGACAAAGATTTGGGATGCTTATCTAGCTTCTTATGAATGCCTGTATAGAGTACAGATTCCAGTTCCCTCTAGGTTTCCCATATCTTTATTGTTATCAGTGGTTGCTCCATGGAATCTAGTGATGTGTGAAAAGACCATATAAATGAACCCAATTCTTGTTTATTAAACCCAAACTGCCTGATGATTTTTTGGCAGGTTGTAAGCAATACAAATATTTCACATGCTAAAATTATTTCACATGCTGAAATGCAGCCTAAAGCAGAATTTCTGATCAGTTTCTTTCCGTCACGGTTTGTTTAGAAATGGAGCCTCTACTGTTGTCACAGCTATATTTGGAGGCATTCTTCAAAATGAAGTAAACTGCTTAATATGTGGGACTGAATCAAGAAAGTTTGATCCATTCCTAGGTAAGTTATCTTTCTCCTACAAAGTATTTACTCGCGCTTTAAAGCTTGAATCTTCATGTATCTAAACAATATGTGGCCAGGTTGAAATTGTACAATGTAAGACTTCAGTAAGAACTAAGGTTTGTTTAATTTTGATCTAATAAATTCAATTCTGTTTTTCTTTCCAAGACCTTTCACTAGATATTCCAAGTCAGTTCAGAAATAAACGAACTAAGAACCAAGAAAATGGACCAATATGCACACTACGGGGTAAGAGATTGTGGTGAGTGAAACCTTGGTTCCACTGAAATCAACACAAGGTTTTCAACTTCCTTCAGTGGAACCAGGATTTCACCCCAAATGTTAGTACCAATCTAGTTGCTCATGAGCTGACTTTTTTGGGGGAAAATATCCCGCTGTGAATAGTGGGGATTGGTTTTTCTCGCAACATGGGCTAAAGGACCTGCTGGCACAGAGCCCCTCAGCTCACCTCAGCCACGAGGCTCTATGCTGGCAGCCAGCATGTCCTTCAGCCCGCAGTGCAACGTGATAGTGCCTTTGGGGGAGGGGGAGAGATTTTATTTCTTGTTAGAGCCCAAAAGTAACTACTTTGAGAATTGTGTGGATCCCGTTTAAAATGGAACTTTCACTGAAACAGAGAGATACTCTTCACTTCCCCCCCATCAGTGTGCTTCAGCAGTGATCTGGAAGGGTTAGTGGACACTTCAGCCTCCCTGTCTGTCCAGTCCTTGGCTTTTATGGAGAGAGTGCCTGCAAACGTGCTAATTAGAGCTAAAGAACAGCACAGGATGGGTAGCTGTAAACAAACTTTATGGGACCATGGGAAAGCTGGCCACATCCATGATATGTGGACATCCAGCTAACAAAAATCATGCCAGACCACAATGTTGACCAGTGTGTGTCAGACTGGAGAGGTTCAGCCTGTAAAAGTTTTATTGGATAAGCCGATTTTTAACAGCTCAGAAGGTTTTTAAACTAGTGCATTGAATTATCTTCCTTTTAGATTGTCTTCGCAGTTTTACAGACTTGGAAGAACTTGATGAGACAGAGCTCTATATGTGCCACAAGTGTAAAAAGAAACAGAAATCCACCAAAAAATTCTGGATACAGAAACTACCAAAGGTTGGTGCAAATGTCAAAGATCAGCGTGTGGTGAAACTTAAAAAAAATTACGAACTTGACCAGTAAATGTATGTATGTAACCATAATCCAAGCTTAACAAACTTTTGTATATTTAATGTTATAGGTGCTATGCTTACACTTGAAGCGATTTCACTGGACAGAATATCTGAGAAACAAGGTTGATACATATGTAGAATTTCCCCTCCGGGGCCTAGACATGAAATGCTTCTTATTAGAGGTACAGAGACTCTTACACGTATATATGTAATGGAAATGTATTCTCTTTTATTACATATTCTGGAACAGAGAAGTTGCCAGTTTACTTTTTAAAAGCTGTTTTCTCTTTGAACTGCAGCCAGAGAACAGTGGCCCAGAAAGCTGTCTCTATGATCTTGCAGCTGTCGTTGTGCACCATGGCTCAGGGTATGTATGCTGAGTGAGCCTAAACCTGGGGGGAGGTACGGCTTACTGAAGGGAACTACAGATTCCTGTTGACTTCATTGGAGGACTTCACCCCAAATGTGCATTTGGTTCTGTTAGCAACTACATTAACATGGACAGGGCTCGACAAACCAATGAATCTATTTGCCCGTGGCGAGTAGATTTCAGCCGGTCTCTCCGTGCGCCCCCCCATTCACCAGCACTTCGCGCATGCACAGTGTGGGGCTGGCGAGTAGCTCTTGCCGGGGTTTGTCAAGCCCTGAACATGGATACAAAAAGGAGTGTTATGTTCCAGTGGTACAGGGTTCTAAAATGTGAATTGTTCGAAGTAACAGTTGGAAATCTGATACTTTTTGAAACTGAGGCTAGTTCCTTGCTACTTTCAAATTGGAAGGTAAAGCAGTTCTTGACAGTAGTATTGTTCCTATCCATTTAAACTCTGAGAGGGCCTGTGGCCCAAAAAACTGATGCTTCACTTTAGTCACTTAAAAATAAATGTCTGTTTCTTCTTTGTTCAGCTTGAAAGCACATGGAGAATTATGCAGAAGACTAGTCTTCATGTAGAACCGTGGTCCCCAACACGGTGCCCGCGGGCGCCATTTCCATGCGCCCGCCAGGTGCTCGGGGCTGGCCTGGCACCGGGCGCATGGCGGGGGGAGCGCCGGCCCCGGGCGCGCGGCGCATGGCGGGGGGAGTGCCGGCCCCGGGCATGCAACTATGGGGGGGGCCGCCCCCGGCGCGCAA